AAAAAAAAAAAAAAAAAAAAAAAAAGTTTGGAAAGACAAATTATCTGGAACAAAAATCTATTCTCTTTGATGGTAACAAATGTAGATGAAATAAAGTGACACTATAGCTGTCAATGAACTAGATGAACATTTGAAAATTAGATAAAAATTCCTTGGAATAATGATATATGACAAAAGCCATGGATTCTAAAAGAGGGAGCTGTGAAGCTAAAGCTGTCAGTAAATCTCTAGCTACATTTAATTAAGGGAGAAGGCTGGCTCCCAGACCTGCACCTATAGCTATCCAATGTCTAATCAATGTGGCAGTTACAGGGCAGTTGTGCACAAGGCTGATTCATTTTCCAGTACAAGACTTAAAGTTCATGACCTCATGAGACATCTCTTTGCCCTGAAATTATATTCACCAAGTAACAATCTTCAAAAAGACTGAATTATTTTTAGCTTATTAGTTTCAAAGGTAGAAATAAAACTTGTTATCTTAAAACAAGTTTATGCGATGCAAGAAGAATCTTGAAAGGTAGTAAGAAGCAGCTAACATAATCTTCCATCCTCTTCAACACTAGGAGGCAAACGTGAAATAGATAACTCACCCTGTCAGGTATGTTCACATATGTTCCAGCATCGAGCAGATCCTGGACAATCTCTGTATGTCCCTCCTTTGATGCAATCATCAAAGCTGTATTTCCATCCTTATCTGTTAAATTTACATTTGGATTCCGCTTCAAAATTTCTTTCACTGACTGTGTGTAGCCTCCTTTCACTGCCACAATAAGTGCAGTCATTGAATTCTTAAAAAAAAAAAAAAAAAAAAGCCAAATAAATTAGTATGTTCTAGAAAATATAATTTTTGTCATAATCATAAAACTAATGTTTTCAAATAGGTGGCCTATTAACAGTCATTTCTGATAATAAAATGCCAATATAAACAACCAGACACATTACAAACATGGCCAGGAGGTATCTTTTGTTTTTGAAGATACATGAATTATTTTTTTTTCAGTTTTATTTATCCTATTTTATTCTTTACCTCTATTTATTTGCTAAGGTTTTCTATTTTTTTCCAGAAGAAGCTGTATTTGGCTGTTTAAGTATGCCCATTAGTTCTCTTGCATCATGAGAACTGTTATGAAGTCCAGTTCTTTGATGATAATCAGAAATTGGACTCATTTACAATGAACAAACCCTCTCACCAATGTAATGAAGTATAAAATAGTTGACAGGATGAATAAAATCAACAAATTCTCAATCAAATAATCCAAGGAAAGGTGCTCAGACTTCAAACTAAGAATTCTTTATAATACGCCTACAGGAAACACTAAAGCAAAATAATGAATTTATAGCCATTGTAAATCTTAAGAAAAGATAATGTATGCTCAAGCTCTGCGTTTCACAGTGATCTAGGAACCCCATTTTCAAAAACTGTCATTTTAAGTAGTTCTTTAAAAACCTGTACATCTACTTTGCAACAATAGATCACCTAATAGAAGAATCTGGTTTGTTACCAGGAGTATTAAAATTGCTTCTTGAGATGTTGACCTACTCTGAGATGTCACACAATTTCCTTATAGTTCAGCTCTTAGATCTGCCCCCAAAAGCAAGTTGTTATTAAATTAACAGCCTTTTCAGATGCTTGAGCAGTCGGTTAGTCATCATAGAGACATCATAGAGCCATGCATCCATGTAACCAATTGTCCAGAAAGGCAAGTGAAAGGTATGACGCCCACAGCTTCTTCTGCCAATATGGAAAACTGGAGGAACTGGTTGAGAGCATGCCAAAAAGTATGATATAAAGAGTTTACTCTTGTTTCATGTACCCAACATCAAGAGATTTGGTAGTATCTCTTCTCAGAATCCTTTATGATTCATCTCACAAAATGTCATAATTCTGTAAATTATAGTCTGTATTATTTTAACTGGTTCTTGTGCATAAATGTTGTTTCCCTTAACTATCTTCTTATAGGTTCAAAGGAAAAGCAATTTCTTAGGCCTTTCCCATCTCTCCAGTATACTTGGCATAGGCTGGGAACCCAGCAGGTGCTCAATAATGAAGTAATAACTGTTAGTTGGTAAGATGTATTTTACCAATTTTTAAGCTTCCTAGGCTTTAAAAGCTGATTTATGAATTTTTAAATCTGCTTACTGAAGACAGAAAATAGGACACAGTTAAAAATATCTAAGAAGGTACTAGTTTCTTTAAAAAAACTATTATTTTAAATTTTAAAAGAAAAAAAATTAAATTGTGTATAACTTTTTTCCACAGTTAATACTAAAAACTATTTGATTTGAACAGTTTATTAAACAATTTACACTAAGTGTAGGAAAAAAACAAACTCAAGTTTCTTCTATTCTCTCACGGCACAAAATACTTCTACAAGGGGGTTTTTCCCCACCCATCAAATAAGCAATCAGCTCTGCAGCAGACACCAGCTGGGTATTCTACAATACAATTCTGATGCTACCTAGCTGGAGACAGCATCAGATCCCACAGGTTGGGGGCTCAGTCCCCAAGACTGCCCCTACTTCTAACGCCAACTGAAAGCTCCAAAGTTGTTTTACCTGCTTCTGACCAACTAGCTATAAATCAGGGTTCCCATAACTCCCTCCTTAGGTTCACTTGATTTGCTAGAGTGACTCACAGCACTCAGGAAAACACTTATTTTATGTTTACCAGTTTATTGTAAAGGACACAAATGAGCAGGAAGATAAAGAGACACATAAGGCAAGGTCTAGAAGGGTCCTGAGCACAGGAGCTTCTGTTCCTGTGACTTGGGGCATGCCACCTCCTGACACGTGAATGTGCTCTTGTTCACCTTCCTGGAACTCAGTCCTTTTGGGTTTTTATGAAGGCTTCATTATTAAGGCTTGATTAGCTAAGTCAATGGCCACTGGTGATCAACTGGACCTTCAGCCCCTCTCCCCTTCCCAGAAGTAGGGGGCAGGGTTTTGAGTTCCAACTCTGTGGAGCACATGGTTTGTTCCTCTGGTAACCAGCTCTCCCACCAGTGGTTATCTAGGAACTTTCCAAAAATCCCATCATTAACATCAGTTTAGGTGTGGCTGCAAGGGGCTTGTTATAGGTAACAAAGAGTTTCACCTTTATGGCTCCAGAGCTGTTCCAGAAACCAAGGACAAAAGGCCAAACGTTTTAACAAAAGACATTCGTAATGCTCTTGTCACTTAGGAAATGACAAGGGCTATAAAAGCAATGAGCCAAGAACCATGGACAAAACCAAAATATGGTCACACGCAGCACATTTTGGTCAATGACTGACTGCATATTCAACAGTGGTCCCGTAAGATTATAATACCAAATTTTTATTGCACCCTTCTTATGTTTAGATACATAACTACACAAAACACTGTGTTGCGACTGTCAACAGTATTCAATACAGTAACCTGCTATCTAGGTTGCAGCCTAGGAACAATAGGCTATACCACATAGCCTAGTTATGTAGTAGACTATACCATCTAGATGTGCATACATACACTACTCTGTGATGTTCCCACAATGACGAAATTGCCAACTGACACATTTCTTAGAACATATCCCCATCCTTAAGTGACACATGACTGTATATATAACATAATGTCACACGAACATTATTGAAAGTTATTCTTTATAGCTTTAGCTTCGCAAAACTTATGTATATTAGCGATAGATACTTAAAGGCATATATGTATAATCTATAATATTTATAGTTTAACATACTTAGGATAATAGGAAGAAAATGCTTGTTCTTCTAAGTTACTATCACTTAAGAATGAAAGAGAAATTTTTCTAGGAATATACTAAGAAAAAATATTCTCTCTCTTAAAATCAAAAGCATAGCTCTATTACCAGGAGTCAAAATGTAAGATACTTACAGCTCCTTCTTGATCTACATCAGCTCCCATGGCCAATAAATGTTTCACGCATTCCAAATGACCCTTTCGTGCGGCCCAAACCAAAGGGGTGGTTCCATACTATTAAAACCAACAATACATTAAAAATTATCATCAGAGATGTACTAAAAAGAAAAAACTCTCAATGAGAATATTAAGAAAAATTATACTTTGAGTATTCTTAGATAACTGTATACAGTAATCATAATTTTAATCCTAGACAAGTCCTATTTTTCCCATTTTATTTTTCCTAAACAGATCAGTGCACCAAATATCTTGTAACCAATTGTATTTACCTTTTATAATGAGGCCACGCCTGTAATCCTAGGACTCTGAGAGGCAGAAACAGGAAGATCATTTGAGGCCAAGAGTTTGAGATTAGCCAGGTCAACATAGCAAGACCCTGTCTCTATAAAAAATAAAAAAAAAACTAGCCAGGTATGGTGGTGTGCACCTATAGTCCCAGCTACTCAGAAGGCTGAGGCAAGAGGATTACTTGGGTCCAGGAGTTGGAGGCTGCAAGAGACCTGAGTGATAGAGCAAGATCCTGGCTCAAAAAAAACAAAGAAAAGAAAAACTTGCATAATGAGTGACAATTTTTCCACCATGAAGTCATACAGCCCCAAATTTTCAACAAGTTTTCATGGCTTCTCATACCTTGTAAATTTAAAGTCCAACAGTCTGACTGCAGAGGAGAAAACAGCGACAACCAAGTACCAAACAAACTAAAGTCCTTCTAACTACTTTACATAAGTTAACACATGTAATGCTTATCACAAGAATAAGAGCAATTCACAATATCACATTTTCACAGATGAGGAAACTGGGGTCCTGTGAGGTTAATTAACAGGCTAAAGCCACAAAGCTATCAAAAAGTAAAACAAGACCCATGAGCCCAGCAGCAAGCCTGGCTGTAGAGTCTATGCTATTAACTACCACCCAAAGTCAGCCTCTAGAAACTGCACTCAGAAGCACCTTTCCCTCAAACATGATTCAAAAGACATTGGAGAATACAAATCATGTATAAAGGCAGTGGTGTACCTTTGGGGAGTCTGGCAATCGGAGACATATAAACACCCACAGTGACCTTTAGGTATGTGAGAGCCCACCAATGAAAACTCACATTTAAAGAACATCTACTTTCTAAGACAGCAGTGTCCAACAGAAATTTCTATAAGAATGGACATGCTCTATAATTCTGTGCCGCCCAATACAGCAGTCATTAGTCAAACATGACTATTAAGCATTTGATATGTACTAGTGTAACTGAGGAACTGAGTTTTTAAGTTTATTTCATTTAAAGTAACTGAAGTCTAAGCAGTCATGTGGCTAGTGGCTACTGTACTGGGCAGCGCTGCTCTATAAATTATGCTGGACATTCCACCAAGCACACTGGTGAAGGTTGCAACCCCGGGCACTCTTCCTTGATGGACAGAACTGTGCAGCTGCCCAGAATCATAGGGCTGCTAAAAGAGCATGTGGTAGTGGAAGCCTCCCAACAAGCAGGAAGGCAATAATGAAGGGGAAGCAGCTGTCAGGGCCTCAAAGCCGACTCAGAACAAATGTGGAACCCAGGGAGATTCCCAACTCCCCCACTGCATCCCACCATGCAGTTCTTCAGTTCTCCTCCTTCATAGATAACATTTTCTCTGGTTAAAAATGCCTTCCCTGGCCGGGTTTGGTGGCTCAGCCTGTCATCCCAGTGCTTTGGGAGGCTGAGGTGAGTGGATTGCCTGAGCCCGCGGGTTCGAGACCCGCTCGGGCAACTTGGCGAGACCTCATCTCTACAATAAATCAAAAATTAGCCGGGCATGGTAGCGCGTGCCTGTAGTTCCAGCTGCTCGGAAGGCTGAGGCGGAAGGATCGCCGGAGCCCAGCAGGTCGAGGTCGCGGTGGCCAGGAGCAGCCACTGCACTACAGTATGGGTGACAGAGTGAGACCCCAACTCAAAAAACAAAAATGCCTTCCCTAACTTTACAAATCAAGATCTTAGACATCCTAAAAGATAACACACGCAGACATTCACCCTTCATAAAGTCCTTTTAAAATACACCAGTACAGTGCTCATTCTTTCAACACCTATTGTATTTAACTGTGCCCTTCTTATACTGAACTACACAAAATTACATGCTATAATTTCTACTCTTTCCCCTGTCCCAGCAGAGTAGCCAGCTAGTCCTCATCCCTAATTCAGCAGAGTATCACTTTCATTATTACGAAGACTTCTTGACACCCAGAGAGACCTTCTCTCACCTTGCTACTTATCTACTGCAGAATGGCCCAGTAGCCAGCACTCAGAACTACCCCAACACGTCTCTCTCCTCTTTTTCTCAAATGCTGGTCTCTGTTCCTCATAAATGTAACCCCTTTATGTGTATTCTTGATCCTGCCTTCCTCTGTTCCATCTAGCACCTTCCCCAATAACTTCCTCCCACATCATCAGCCTTCTTATCCCTCTTCTTAGTAGGCCTCCAATTTCGATCCTTCCATTTAGGTTTCTCCTATTCTAACAAACTTTTCCAACAAGTTATCCTCTTAAGATACTCTTCATTGTCCTTTCTTTCAGACTTTTCAAAATAATTTGTAATTCCTTACCAAAAGCCCCTTGAAAACTACTTTCTGCTATAAATGTTAAAACCACTAGGCCTGAGGTCACCAACAGACACCTAAACCCCAGAACTAAAGATCTTTTATTCAGTTATTTCTTTTCTTCCTGAAAACTCTGTAGCTTTCTGAATGATACTGATTGTTCCTTCCAACTTGAACTTTTAATTCACCACCTTTGAGACTACACCGGCCAAATTCTCCTACCTCTGAAGATACTACTAATAACCAGCCCTTTGCTCATCACATTCCATTACTACAGTTATCAAGTCCACACCCACGCAATTTCAAGAATCACCTCTATGCAAGCCCTGTGTCCCCAAGCAGCCCAGGTCTCTACGTCCACTATCTAGTAAAACACCTTAAACTACAGGTGTTCCATTACTTCAGAGTCAACACACCTAAAACGGACTTTCCCTTCTCTAAAAATTAGTTCCCACAAAAACCTCCCTATTTTTGTCTGTATTAAAAATATCCTCTTAGTCTTCAATCCATAACATAATGCGCAAATCAACATTAAGTTTTCTAAAACACTACTCTCTGCCAACCTACCCCAATAATTTTGAGCATCTATAGGGCAGATGTCCAATCTCATCGGATATCCCAGGCCCATCTGAAGGTGGCTCAGCACTCATCTCCATCCCATCAGTGTGCACACTGGGGCTTTCTTGCTCGCATTTTGCCCTGGGCCCAGCTCATCTCCATCAAGGTAAGTTCTACTCTTCCTTCAAAGTCTAGATTAAGTCTCACTTCTACCAAATCTTCACTGACTGTTCAGCCATCAGCGAATTCCCCCACATGCAAATTCCAAAGTCTTTTGGCCCTGAGCCTTTGCCTCTTACATGTCCCATTTATCTTCCTGCTTCTCCAAACAGAGGTAATTTAACAGGTATAGGGTACTGCAGACTTTAGGTGCTAAACGTTTTCTCAAATGTTAAAGAGCAACCCGATTCTGGAGAGTGTTGAATGCTGGGCTATCCACACACATTTTACTATGGGCCAGAAGGAGATAATAAAGGCTTCTCCGTGATAATTAAATAACACCGACAGACAACACCGCATCCGTATCAGACACACATCAAACATGAGACAGTCAATCTGAATTAGCCAATTATAAAAAATACAATATTCCTAAATGCCATATAAATATTTGCAACAGCTTCCTTACAGTCCTCATTAAGCTATTATTTTACACATTTTTGTTTGCGTCAGCATCACACTGTCATCTAGACTGGAATGCAGTGGCATGTTCATGGTTTTCCACAGCCTCCAACTCCTGGGCTCAGGTGATCCTTTCAACTCAGTCTCACAAGTAGCTAGAACTACAGGTGTGTAACACCACACCCAGCTAATTTTTTACTTTTGTAAAGAAAAGGTCTCACTATGTCGCCTAGGCTAGTCTTGAACTTCTGGCTTCAATCAATCCTCTTGCCTCAGCTTCCCAAAGTGCTGTGATTACAGGTATGTTTTACTCAAATTTATGCACAGAATATATTACAATTACGAAAAACAAATCTTGGTCAAGCATAGTACCTTGCACCTGTAATCCCAGTGCTTTGGGAAGCCGAGGTGGGAGGATCATTTGAGGATAGGAGTTTAAGACCAGCTTAGCCAACACATCAAGACCTCATCTCTACAAAAAATCAAAAAAGTCAGCCAGGTATGGTGGCTCATGCCTGAAGTCCCAGTTCCCTGGGAGCTCAGAAAGGGAGGTAACCTCAGCCCAGGAGGTGGAAGGCTGCAGTGAGTTGTGATAATGTGTCACTGCACTCCAGCCTAACCAACAGTGAGATCCTGATGCAAAACAAAACAAAAAAGAAATCTTTAAGTGATAGCTATTTTGCTATATTTAGCTACTTTGTTATTAATGAGACAAAAATATGATTACTTCAACAATGTGACAAGTTCTAAGACAGCTAATAGAAGTAACACAGGTAAAAAATGGAAAAAAAGGAAAAGAATCATTGCTTATCTTCATGTAACTTACACTCTAGTGGTCAGACAGACATGGTGATCAATCATTGTAAGGCAGTAGGCGATGTGCATTAATGGAAGTATGCACACAGAGTAAGAAAGTACACAGTAAGGGGAATCTAGGCTAAGGAGACTGAACAAGGAAGGTAACACTCAAATGAGCCTCGAAAAACAAATAGGAGTTCATCAGGCAGAGAAGACAATAACATTCCTAGCATAAAGAATGGAATAAACAAAGAAACCAAAGTTCACAGAACATCAGACAATCTGTTGCATCTAAAAGCATAGCATATACAGAAAGAAACAGCAAGAAGTGAGCCTGAGAAGATAGGCTGAAGCCAAACCGAGGAGCCTGGGCTTTATCCTGAAACAGTGAAAGCCATCAAAGCACTCCAAAAGCAAAGACAAAAATGATAATTAGATAACTATTTATTCAATATGAGGCAATCCTCATATTGAATCTTTAGCATTTTACAGGATTTACAAAATCCTTAACACTTAATGGAGGAATTTCTGGAAGTGATGACAAATGGGCTGTGCCTCAGAGGTGAGCAGAGGCTAAGGCACACGAGGAGGAGAGGGCAGGCACGCTGTGAAAGAGCACCAAACTCAGGAAGCTGCGCATCATTGGGAGGCTAGCGTGCAAGGAAGTGTGGGTTACAGGCAGCAGGAAAAGGAGGAGAAACGGAGCAAGGCCTATCTTTACCCATCATACCAGAGATGGTCTTCAAGATTTTAAGCACAAGAGACATAACCAAACTTGAATTTAAAGATCAGTCCGGCAACAACATGGAGAAAGCAGATAGGACTGAAGGTATGAAGAAGAGTTACAATAGAAAATTTCAAACAATGAAGCAGGTATTCTATTATCCTTGTCAGTTTTCTTGAGAATGATGAATGTGACCAAAACACCCAGAAGGACACTCAGCATATAATGTACACAAGGGATCCATCTATAAGATATAAATCTATTTAAAATAATATGCAAAAATAGAAAATACGTTAGAGCAGCCTCGTGAGACCCTATGAAATGTTTATAACTTAGACACACTGAGTGGACATAACATGGACTGGAACCTGGAAAGAGTCTGTTGACCTACCTTATCAGAGCAGTTGACCTTAGCACCATTTTGCAGTAAAAGATGCACTATATCTGCATGGCCTCTCCCCGCTGCCCAAATGATTGGGTAAACACTGTACTGCTGGGATAGGTAGGCAGGTAGGTAGGTAGGTAGAAAGGAAGGAATGAAAGAAAGGAAAGAGGGAGGAAGGGAAAGTGAAAGAAAATCTTTTAGGTGGATATTTACAACATATATTTAAGTAAATATCAAAGGAACTAACACAAAGTGATGCTTTTTGAAAATCAAGTTACAAACCATTCTCCTTTAAAAACACACGTAATATAATTGACAACTAAGATTCAATGAATCTTAAATAAACATAAATCATGAACTCAGTTTTTTATAAGTTCAACACATTAAAATCTGATTAACTAGCCAACAGGCAATATAATAAGAAGAAACTGAAATAAGAGGAACGTAACTATTATAATAACGTGTAGGAAAAAATCGTATAGTTATTTGATAAATGTCTCTTTTCCTCAAATATGTTTAGGTTAAAAATGTACAACAACAGAAAACACGAAGATGAATAAGGATTTCAAAACCTCCTTTTGAGATGTTATATATAATTAACATTTAAGCTCTAAGAGTTGCCTTTTTGTTGACAAAAGTGTGAAATAAACAGCTTGAGAAAAAAATTATCATCGTTGTGTTTTGAAATCACATTCTACATCATTATTATGTTTAACAAGGTAAAAAAAATTTCTGTCCACCTAAAACAAGTACAATCAGGCTTCAGTATTCCCTAAGAAACTTACCACTTATATAAAAATGAACTTTTTGTTAACGCTTACCAGACCAGTGACACTTGGATTGGCACCATGAGAAAGAAGCAACTCTACTACTTCAGTGCGGCCTTTATAACATGCCCACATGAGAGCTGTCCATCCCCCCTGAAGAAAAAGAAAGGAGAAAGGGAAATAAAATACTGGGTAATCTCCAAGCATAAAAATGTCTCTAATGAATTCCTTCAGTGAATATCCTTATAAACCATTGTTTTCTGAAGGTAATACTATGATGTTTTAAATTCCCAAGATCCTTGGAGTAATATACAATAACACATAAGTCAAATCTCTGACGTCCACAAATGATTACTCCAAAGTTTGTCCTATAACATGAAAACTGAAATAGTGAGCACTCACAATGGGCTCTTCCAAATTTCTAAGACTTATTTTGGCTGTCTAAAAACGTTTCTTCAGAAAACCTTCTACGTCCCTAGGTATTCTCTCCCTTGTATGAGCCCAGACCTTATCCAGAAAAGGATTCCAGTAATCATAATCCACTACTGCATTTAAACACATTCTTTAAATCCAGATCATTATAGCACCTCTTGCTAAAAGAGGGAGGATGCTAAAGCAACGAACTGTGATCAGGATTTTCCAGAGTGGGCAGGGTCATCAGGTCTGAATTTACACCAACACTTGATGGCATTCTATTTAACTAAGCTACAGGAGAAATTTTCTTTTTAGCTCGGATGCAACTCAATAAAAGAGACCAATGTAAGCAAACCTTACTAAGAAATTAATGTTGAGCTTGTTTGTTTTTAAATCAGTATTTGGAACAATCTACATTTGGTTCTGAGACAATAAATCACTTAATCCTTCTGATTCTGTTTCAGCATCACTAAAATGGATATAAAATATTTGCCCTAATCCGGAAAAGGCAAAACTACAGAAAGGGAAAACAGATCAGTGGTGGCCAGGGGTCAGGGAGTGGGTGGAGAGGTTGATTATAAAGGAGCCGCATGAGGGGACTGCTGAAGTGATGGCACTGTCAGTCTGCCTGGAACTGTGGTGGTGGATACATGACACTGTGCGTGGGTCAAAAGCCAGAAAGTATATGCCAGAGTGAATTCTACTGTATATGAATTTTTCTAAAAATTAACAAGAATATGAAAAATATGGAAAGGAAATATAGAGGAATTAATATGGACTCATTTAAATAGATATATATTTCTGTAGCTATCTATCTGTATATGTGTGTGCATGCATGAGTTCATATACATACATATATTTCCAACCCTTATCCACTAAGAAGGCCTAGAAGCAATGACATATTTGCAATAAGCACACCTAATGCCTAGATTTTCTAAACATTTTCTAATAAAAGGAGGCAGATATCCTTGGAAAACCAGTTGATTCCAGTGCTAGAGTAGGAAAAATACAAGAAGTACATGACCCTGAAGCATTTTGAGGTGCCAGAAAGTAAGGAAGTGCTTTAAAAAAATTTTTTTTGTCTTTTTGTTGTTGTTCTTTCTTTGTTTTGAGTCAGAGTCTCACTCTGTCGCCCAGCCTAGAGTGCACTGGCATGATCATGGCTCACCACAGCCTTGAACTCCTGGGCTCAAAGGATCTTCCCACCTCAGCCTCACAAGTAGCCAAAACTATAAGCACATGCTGCCAAGCATGGCTAATTTTTAAAATTTTTTTTGTTGAGACGAGGTCTTACAATGTTGCCCAGGCTGCTCTCACATTCCTGGGCTCAAGCAACTTTCCCAGCCTCAGCCTCCCAAAGTGCTAGAATTGTAGGCATGAGCCACCATGCCTGGCCTGAAAATTTTTTTTAAAGAAGGACAGAGTATCTTTAAGGGTAAAGAAGTCAGCCTGAAAGAGCTTCCAATGACCAATGGCAGAACAACTTGAGCAATAAAATAAGTATAGTACTGGAGTATAACCCACAGAATAAGTATTCAGAAGTCTAAAGAGAGAGAAGTGCATATATATATACATATATATATGGGTTTTGACACACACAGTGTCATGTGTATGTGTGTATATATATGTATATATATGTACTCTTGTATATACATATATACACACATATATAAATGTACTTCTCTCTCATTAGATTTCTGAATACTTATTCAGTATACACACACACACACACATATTCATATATATATATATGGAGAGAGAGGGAGACAGAGACCGGCAGTTAGGAGGAGTGAGGGAGGGCACTCTTCCTTACAGAAGAATTCTAATTAATAAATGCAAAATTAATAAGGGAAATAGAAAATCACCACTATAACTGTATTGTTCCCAAAGTATTTATTAATTACAAAGGGAAAAACAGTATTCTTACAGTGGAGAAATCTGACAGATACCACCTTAATCAAGAGATCAAGGATGACAATACCTGATGTCATGCGATTACTCTCATGTAATAATGTCATATTGATATCTTGTTCTCCCTAAAATGGTGCACTGACAAAGGCACATCACCTCTATGGTTTCCTTCCCAATAAAGCCAATCACAATCGAATCATAAGAAGCATCAAATAAATCCAAATTGAGGGACATTCTAACAATACAGACGGATACTCTTCAAACGTGTGAAGGTCATAAAAGACGAGACACTAACATGATTTATTTAGGTCAAATTATAGAGCTGGGCATTTAGTCAAGTTTTACATACACCAACATTCTAACCTACAAAATACCTGCCCAGGACTTTTTAAATACCATGCCCTCACTTTGATTTGAATAATGTCCCCCATGCAAGAATCTATGAGATAAAATTTTAATCTCAAGAAAACTACGCTTAATTTCACAAAAATGAAGAGATTGAGACCAGTTAACTACAGTGATAGCTTCAGAGTTCATGATTTCTTTCATCAGTTGGTGTCCATTAAAGGTTCTCCCAGGAAAAATCTTCTCTAGACTTCCAGATATTATATCCTAGAATTCTTCCAGAACCCCACAGCACCTCAGTGGTCACTATCCTCTCCTTCAACAACTTAGTGACTACTACTACCCACCTTCCCTCAATTTGGTGGCTACTACCACCCACTCAATTCTTTGAGGCTAAGTTCCCTCAATATAGGCTATTAAAAGAGAGACAATCCTCAGTTTCTCTGACTTTCGGTGTTTAAAAGCCAAACATAAAGACTCTTTAAATGTTAAAGGTTTTGTGATCATCACTTCAGGGAAAAAGGAGAAATAAGGAGAACCAAAAAAGTTTAAGAAATCATTTTTACAAATCTTACCATGTTTTTACATGTTCATAATGTACATTTCATAGTTCCTAACTCCCTTGCTGATATACATAGAAGAATGATAGAAGAGAAAGTCTTTGGAGTAGGTAGACGTGGGTTCAAAATCCAGCCCGACTACTTACTGGCTATGTGACTGTGGAAAGATCACGTTTTCCAGTCTCAGTTTCCTCAACTGTACATTAAAAACAAAACTAACCCTTGGTCCATAGGATTGTTCTGAGAAGTCAATGAAATAACACAGAGGCTACAGAGCACCTAAAGGAGCTAGCACAGAGTAGGTACTTACTATTATTAACTCATGAAATAATCCAGTAAGTTACCTTTAATACAATATGGAGAACTAGCTAATTCCCTGCATTTCCCTTCTACCTTATGTACCAATAAGGTAAAAAATACCACTTTTACTCTCAGCCGCCATATACAAATTTGCTTAATACTGACACCATTATCTTCTCTCCCTAAACTTTCATTCCAATGGCCCTCTGCATCTTCCTGTAAAAATAAGGATACCACTCACTTTGCTAAGTTTTGAGAACAAATGAAAGATTAGAGATAAAAACCACTGTAAATTATAACACACTATTGAGTGCAGAATGGTGGCATGCTTGTTTCTTAAAAGCTCATACCACCTGTACCTCAAAAACCATCATCAGCTAAGCAGTGCATGCTTTATATATCAAGGCAGATCATTTCCTTCCTTTTTTCTGTTAAAATTAACTTTTGTAAAGGTTGAACATTTTTCAGAATAAGGCAGAAATGATCCTTCTCTTCACCTTTATGTTTCAACCAGATGCCAAGAGCAAATAAGAGCTAAGTGATAATTAAGGATCACATCCTGATAAACTTTTCTAATGTGTACAGAGAGCATGTCTAAATAGAATTACATTTTTAAAACAAACCTATAAATATTATGCTGAAAATTATAACTTAAAGCAACTGACTTAGTTTTAAAACTATATAACATCCCTCCTAAGTCCCATCTAAAAGAAAACACATTTCTCAAAAGTTCTAAAACATTGATAAATATTAAAGGGTAATGAGTTGTTTTTAACAATATTTCAGAATTTTAAACTCTAAAATAAACTGACTAAGAATATTCTAAAAGAAAAACACTGAAACACCTGAATTTTAAAACATTCTTAAAGGGTCATTTCAACATCTAATCTCAAATCCTAAAAACATTATATATCACCTCACAGATAAAAATAAAAATTTTGACACATATTATAGGCCATAAAATTTCAGCTAATTGAGAACATATTATAAAAAACATACATACCATATCACGGTGCTCCAAGTTAACACCGCATTTAAGGAGTTCTTCCACAATGTGGACATGCCCTTCTTTTGATGCAGATATAAGTGCTGTCCAATTATCCTTGAACACATATATAAAAATGGTATCATTTTAAAACCAAAAATCACATTCTAAAGTGAGGAAAAATATAAATGAATTTATATACCAAACTGACATGATTTGACCTAAACACTAAACTATAAGATAATATCGAAGCTTGCTTAAGAATTTATCTGTCTACTTGAATCACCACTAATGTTGTAAAAATAGTCTCACAACTGTTTGTTCATTCTTCTCACTGAACTTCTAATCACATACTGTGCTTTTTAAAAAAAAGAAAAGATGACCATCAAAACCTCAAAGCTAATCCCTGTGGCTCGCAACCATTACTACAGATTGAAATTAAAGAGCCTGTAATCAGGTTGAAAGTACACTCACAGGCTACTAAACTACGATCCCATATGAGGAATTTAGGAAATATGTGGTAAAGAAAAGAACCATTTTCCTTTATTTTTTAAATAAAGAATATAACTTTTATTCATGAGTGTCATTTAATTCACATGATCATTCAATTATAAAACAAAATAAAATAGAGGTAGCTGTGTAACCCTCAAAAGCAATTCCAAGAAAACAAGGAGAATTAGAGAAAATGTAACTCCTGGAATGGTGATTTACTTCTCAGAAGTGACCACCTCCTGCTCATTATCATATCTAATGCTATTTTTCATAAATTACCATTACAGAGAATGATTTAACAACATGACTCACACATGGATATTTTCTAGGCAGGCACTATATAGAATGCATATGTGCTCACTATTCTGCCAATGTGTCTATATATAAAAAAACATAAAGAGCTGAGATCCTTCATTAAAAGTAAAAATTTCTCTCCTGTATTGGGCAAAGCTCAGATATGGCTGAAAGTATAATTTGTAATCTATTACTTTTGAATCACTTCTTAAAACAAAGAAACATCAAAGTTAAAAAAAAGAAAAGAAACAAACGAGTAAATTATTTTAACATATACCAAATCTTCCAGATTGCAGTTAGCTCCATTCTTAATTAATTCTTTCACTATTTCCAGATTGCCTTGTTCAGCAGCTATCATCAATGGAGTCTGGCCACACTAGAGAATATATAAGACATGGGGGCTTATCAAGATGCTGTACTTTTACTGAAACATCACTGTTTACATGTACATTTTCATGAAGACATGTTAGACACTAGTTGTGTTTCCATATTTATTTAAGTTAGAATCACTTTGAAAACCTAAGTTTCAGTTAATTAATAATTTGAAAGTGAAAGAAAAAATAAAACTTAATTTTTCTTCCTATACTATTAGTTACCTGTTTTTGGCACTGCAAATCCATTTAAAATAAATACTTTACTTATTAAAATGAGTAATATTCAGATATGGAAAGTAATTACTAAAATGTATAGAAAATCTCAGAATACCTATAGTAACCAAATTCTGTAACAATAAAGGTAGAATATAATACAGAATTTTCTTAGTCACATTTTATCCAAAACAAGACTAGAGGGAGAAAAGTAAAATAATAAATAAAAACAACACAAATGCAATATATAATAATACACAGCCTGGGCAATACAGCAAAACCTTGTCTCTACAAAAGAAAAAAAAATCAAAAGTTAGCTGGGTGTGGTGGCACACACCTGCAGCCCCGGCTACTCAGGAGGCTGAGGCTGGAGAATCACTTGAGCCCAGGAATCTGAGGCTGCAGTGAGCCGTGACTGTGCTACTGGGCAATAGAATAAGAACCCAATTCAAAGAAAAAAAAAAGAAGAAGAATACATATGCAGCTTTCTTTTTTTTGAGTCAGGGTCTCCCTGTGCCACCCAGGCTAGCATGCAGTGGCACTATCATGGCTTACCACAACCTTGACCTCCTGGGCTCAGGCAATCCTTCCACTTCAGCTTCCTGAATAGCTGGAACTACAAGTGTACACCACCATGCCTGACTAATTTTTTTATTTTTTGTAGAGATGGGGATATCACTATGCTGCTCAGGCAGATCTCAAAATCGTGGGCACAAGCAATCCTCCCGCCTTGGCCTCCCAAAATGTTGAGATTACAGGCATTTTGTAAGCCTTCCCTTACAAACTTAATTAATTAAACTAAAGCTTCTGCTACTTTAAATCAGAGTTTCCCAGCTCTGTACTAAGAAGGAGTCTCAGGAGTACAGAGATTTGTTCCTTCAGCCCTGGAGACGAGGGGGCAAGACCCAGGCAGCTGGATCCTGGGACAAGTTACCTCTAGTAGCAAGACTCATCTGTAGGAGCAGTACAAACGTTATGCTTTTCTGTAAGCTCTATGACAGGAAACATATTAGGAAGCACCAGGTTAAACTGATAATACTAAAGGTGCTACAACACAGTAAGTACATGAAAAAAATGTATACCAAAAATTAAGTTCAATTACATAAACACTTAAACACCTATACAGTATGCATCTATCAGTGTAGGGGAAAATAGATCTATGATTCTCTTTAATGCTAACATAATTCCTCTGCTTAAAACCCTTCAGTGTTTTCCCACAGTTCTTTGGGATAAGAACCAAATCCTTACCCAGACTGACACAGGCCCTGAATGATGGAGAGAGCAGGACAGGCCTACCTCTCAACCCAGACTGTGCCATTCCCAACCCCAAGGTCCCCTGCTGCTCTTTCCCACCTCCTCAACCAGTCTCCTATAATTTCCTTTCCTATGATAATCCCTGTCAGTAAACACGTTTTTATTTGTGTGACTATTAACTGATTACGGTCTGCCTCTCCTAAAGGTGCTAACCTCCATGACGATGGAAAACATGCCCATTTTGCTTAGGGGTTTAAACCTGTATATCCAGTGTGAGGGACAGTGACTGCCACACAGGTACTCAAATATGTGCTGAGTACACGAGTGAGCAAAATCTCAAAGAATGTGAACACCTATTAAGAGCAACATCCAAAGAAGCAAATAATTACAATACTTGACAAAATACAACATGCTATCTTATAAAAACAATACCAGTAAAGAGTTCAACACAAATACTGGTTGAAATAGAGTACAAGGGTACATTAGATACAGACATTCTGATGTTAGTGATGGATACTAAATTATATGTGGTAGCCACATAATTCAACCTGCGTCATAAGGGAATGAGGTACTACACATAAATGGATTTTCCAGGTGAAAAGTATATCCTTTATACCTTAAAGTTGATGATAGCTTTTATGATCATCATCATTCTAAAAAGAAATGCACATACTGTTACTTGCCTTAAACATTATGCTTATAATTCTGAGTCATAATTACAGACATCAATTATTATACCATGCATGCCTCTAAGTTTCCTGGCATACTTTCCACAACATCCTTCTCCCTTCTAATCTACAGGTGATAAAAAGGTGAGATATCAAAGTCATTGGTATAATATATAAATTAAAGCCAACAAACTCTAAATGTATGGCCCTGAGGATACATGAATTTTACATCAGTTTTCAAAACTGTAATTCTAAAGACTCAGAGAAGTTTTCTGTTTGCTTTCTGAGGTCACAGTTGTATTTCAGATAGTTCACAAAGAAAAGTATTTTTAGAGAATGGAGAAAAAATAACATAAACGTGTATAAATACCTATGGCACAAATAAGAAAGATGGCATAAATCTGACCACCTAGAAATATGCCAAAAGAAAGACTCAAGCAGTCATAGTTTTCTCTTGCAGAAACTGAGTTGCCTACTCAATATTTGAAGGACAGGGTTTAGTTAGGAGTGCAATGAGCTCAGCTAAAAAACATCCACACTCTCAGCCTCATTTGTAGCTGGAAATAATCCTGTGACATTGCTCTGGCTAGGACTTCCAGGAAACTCTGAGGGAATCAATTTGCCCTGTCTGTGTCCTTTTCCTTCTTATTGCCTGATATTCAGACACAGTACTGGAGCTGTAGTAACATAGCTGACATGAGGTCATCAGCACACAGTGGGGAAACAGAAAGATAGAGGAGCCCGAGTCCTGGAAGACATCCTGAAACCACTGTAAGCCATAATGATGGCCCTCTAGCTTACCATTATGAGAGAAAAATAAACCACTGTTTGTTTAAGTTGGAGTCTCACTCTGTGTCCCAGGCTGGAGTACAGTGGCACACTCAAGACCACCATAGCCTTGACCTGCAGGGCTCCAGCGATCCTTCCACCTCAGCCTTCCAAATAGCTGGAACTACAGGCATGCATCACCAAGCCCAGCTAATTTTTTGATTTCATCAAGTTGCCCAGATTGGTCTCTAACTCCTGGGCTCAGGCAATCCTCTCACCTCTGCCTTCCAAAGTGCTGGGATTACAGGTGTGAGCTACTGCACCCAGCCTAAACCACTGTTTTGAGAGCTATTACATGCAGTACAAAGCAATTCTTATCTGATACACTTTTTGTAGCTGCACTATTCAAAAAGATAATGGTTTTCAGGAAAGGCTGCCAAAATGTGTTTCTAGGTTTTTTTGAGTCAGAGTCTTACTCTACTGCCCAGGCCGCTGGAGTGCAGTGGCACGCTCACAGCCACCACAGCCTCAACCTGGTGGGCTCAGGCAATCCTTCCGCCTCAGCCTTCCAAGTAGCTAGAACTACAGGCGCGCACTACCACACCCAGCTTGTTTTTTCAATTTATTGTAGAGACGAGGTCTCACCAAGTTGCCCAGGCTAGTCTTGAGCCCACGAGCTCAGGTAACTCTAGTTCCTCGGTCTCCCAAAGTGCTGGGATTACAGGCTTGAGACACCGCACCCAGTCCGCCAGAAAGTTTTATTAGCTCCCCAAAGGTAGCAGGATCGTTACCTCACAAATTGAGCCTAACAAAACCTATCTCTGGATTTTCCTAGTTCTTGCTTAACCAATCTAGTAACTAAAGTTGTAGCGATACTGAGTAACTTACCACGTCAACTGTATTCTTCCACTTGGAAATGAATCAATAAAGGTAACTTCCATAGCTAACCCCACACAACCCACAAACCCCATGTCTATGTCCTTCCAAAGAACACAGGATTATAGAATCCACAGAACCCCAGCTCTACTCCTTACAATGATCTCAAGCTAAAAGTCACCAAAATAAAAAGAACACTCTGCACCAAGTGAAGCTTCCCACAGCAGGTATCATACCTCCTATTCAAGCATCTTTTTTGCTCTTCCCAGTTTCTAGGTTTCCATATCTACTTATTCAGGTATAGGAGACCTAAATAACCATTGTCCTGTAAGGAGCCCCTTTGGAGGATTTATACTTCTTCCAATAACTGTAGTAAAACTAAAACATTTGGAAATCCTCCTTTGAAAATTCCTTTCAAGTCTGTTTATAAACATATAACAAAATCCATCACTTACAGTTAAAGTTTCAGTTCATTTTCTTAAAAAGGAGAGAAATGTCCAACATCAACATTACCCCCTACTTGTACCAAGGAGAGCTAAGAGTGACTTTTTGTTCTTTTCCAAAAAAAGACAAAAATAAAAACCTTTCACTACTCTAAAAAGGGCAAAGATTAGCCATCATTGAGAATATTCACAGGCCAAGAGGTCTATCCAGTTTAGAAACAGAATAAAAAGAAATTAGATTTACCAACTGTGGCTGATTATGTGCTAATAAAGGAGACTATCAGGCAATTTTACTCACATTAATTTTCTTTTTTTTTTTTTAAGAGACAGGGTCTCACTCTGTTGCCCAGGCTGGAGAGCAGTGGTGCAATCATGGCTCACTGCAGCTTCAAACTCCTGGGCTCAAGGGATCCTCCTGCCTTGGCCTCCCAAAATACTGGGATTACAAGCATGAGCCACTGCACCTGGTCTACCCATATCATTTTATTTAATTGATCTAATATTTAAGAATCCTTTCCAAACTGATAACCAAAACATATTAACATGAAGTTACTTAAATACTCTTTCGAGGCCAAGAAAGATGGGGAAAAAATTCAAACAGCTCTTTTCAATTCTATAAAAATTAAATTTTAGAACTTTTTGGAATTGCCACACTGATTTCCATAGAGGCCAACTTTCCATATGACCCTGCAATCCCCCTCCTGGGAATTTTCCCCAAAGAACTCAGGTCACTCTATGAAAAAGATACTTGCAGATGTATGTTTATTGCAGCATTGTTCACAATAGCAAAAACATGAAACCAACCGTGCTGCCCATCAAAAGAGGGTTGAATTTAAAAAATGTGGTACATATACACAATGGAATACTACACAACCATAAAGAAGAACAAAATCATGAACTTTGCAGCAACCTGGATAAAATTAGAGTTTATAATACTGAGAGATCTCTCACAGAAACAAAGAACTGAGTATCACATGTTCTCACTCATAAGTGAACCTTGAATAACTACCGTATCACTATAAGAAAAGGACTGAAAGTGGTGGGAAACTGTGGGGAGGGGTGAGGGGGTTGGGAGGTGGGACTGACAGCAGTTGATATCTGCCTGGGAAAGTGGGGAACACACCTCATCTATAAAGGTACCTGCATGGTAAATATTTGTATACCTAGCCCTGAATTGCACCCCACAATTTTAAATAAAAATTAAAAGAAGAAAAAGAAAAAAAAAAAAGACCATTCCAGAGTAAAAACACTGAATGAATATGAAAAAAATTAAATTTTATCAGAAGTTGTAGAATTGCTAAAAATAAAACAGCCTTGAGAAAACTTCTTTAACCACAGCCCTTAAACTAAGCCACAACTGAACTATTCCAGGTGGTTTCAAGTTATTTTAAAACTCCAATTTAAATTGATACAATATTAAACTGGATATAGTGATAATGAATATCCACTAAATGCTATCTCATGCATGATGTTAAGTTAAGCTTTAAACCAACTATGTGTCACTTCTATGGCCAAAAGATTAATATAATTTTATACTTATCAATGTGATGTTTTATTCCAAGTGAGGCTATTTTCTTAATAACCCCTAAGAAAATATCTATAAAGTAAATTTAATGTTTCTAAACTATCACACTGTTTTCTAAATATGCTAATATATGCTAACAAAATTACTGTCTATAATTACTTTATAACAAATAACAATCTCTAATTACAAATTTCATCTTATCTATTTATAACAATTTTTGACTATTCATAATCATAAAAGGGAATAATTATGCTAACTAACCAAAATATACTTTTTAAATATAGAAATGTTGAAAACATAGGCATTAGCATTAGATGAACTTTATTCTTAAGACTCAAAGGCAGTAGAGCTTAAACAGATTATAGTTTGTTTCAAGTCTACTAGAGCAAGGTTCAAATTTGTATTATATCAGGTAATATCTTGTATAGGAAACTGAAGAATTAAGGCTTTTATCCATAAATCAAGATAAGTAACAGTATTATGCTTTGCATAGTTGCTATGCAAGTTAAATAAGCTAAGATATATGAAATACATATCATAATATTTGCATAACTATTTAATAAAAACATTGGCTATCACAATATTATGGTAATAACAATATTTTTATATACAAATTTCCTTAATGCATGAGTTAACATTTAATGAAATTAGGTACCCCACGTCAAAAAAAAAGTATCAAGTAATAGCTGTTAATTCAGCAGCTTTAATAACATTTATAATATTGGCACACCCGTGCATATGGCAGAATTATTCACAACAGCCACAGGATGAAAGCAACCAAATTTCCCACCACAGATGAGTGGATAAACAATATGTACTACATACATGCAACGGAATATTATTCAACCTATAAAGGAAGGAAACTCTGCTACATGCTACAACATGGATGAGCCTTAGAGATATTGTGCTAACCAAAATAAGCCAGTCACAAAAGACAAATGAGTCCATTTATATGAGGTGTCTAGAACAGAACAGGCAAATTCATAGAAACAGGAAGTAGAATGGTGTTTGCCAAGGGTGAGGGGGACAGGAAAGAGAGAATTGTTGCTTAATGGATACAGAGTTTTGACTTTGCAAGATGAAAACGTTCTGGAGATCTGTGGTATGACAACATAGAAATACTTAACACTACTGAACTGTATCCTCAAAAATTGTAATAAAGTAAATTTTATGTGTTTCTTTACAATATAAAAATTTATAAATAAAACTTCGTATATGTCTACAAACATAGATGCACATGTAAGCACATACATACATACACATAAATACATATATTCACACATACTTAGCAAATAAAAATCACTCCTCATTCATCTTACCAGCTGGCTAAAACAAAATTACACTCTATTGAAAATACAGGAGTCAGGCACATTAACTCATGCCTGTAATCCCAGTACTAAGGAAGACCGAGGCAGGAGGATCGCTTGAGCCGAGGAGTTCAAGACCAGATTAGGTCACATGGAAAGGCCTCTTCTCTACAAAAAATCGAAAAATCAGCCAACTGTGGCAGCATCCACCTGTGGTAGCAGCTACTCAGGAGGCTGAGGCAGAAGGATGCCTGCCTCAGGTTGAAGCTGCAGTGAGCTGTGACTGCGCCACTGCATTCCAGCCTGGGTAACAGAGTGAAACTACAATTTAAAAGAAAAAAGAAACAAAAGAAAGAAAAATACATACGACTCTAGACACAAGGTTATTTTCCCTATGCTTTATAGGACCAACATATACTTTGCCACTTTAAAAATTTACACAAAAATTAGTAAGTGACTAAAATGTCAGGTCAAATAATCTCCAGCTTTGTTATTCACAATATAATGGGATCAACATTTTTTTACTCATATAACCAAATAAAAATATTTCATTTAAGTCATGCTTATTTTATTTTTTTAAGACAGGGTCTCACTGTTGCTCAGGCTGGCGTGCAGTGGCATGGATCATGGTTCATTGCAGCCTGGAACTCCTGGGCCCAAACAATCTTCTTGCCTTAGCCTCCCCGTAGCTAGGACTACAAGTGCACACCAACATGCCCAGTTAGTTTGTTTGTTGTAGAGACAGGTCTCCCTACGTTGCCCAGGCTGGTCTCAAATTCCTAGCCTCAAGTGATCCTCCCACTTTAGCCTCCTAAAGTCCTGGGATTACAATCATTAGCCACTGTACCGTGCTTATTATAACACACAGACTTGTAAACACTCTCTTAAAGCTGTAGGGTCTTTAAAATCCCAAGGTTTATGGAATGAACAACTAAGGAAGAGAACTGGGTCTCCATTAAAGAAAATATTTCAAAAATTCCTAATTTTGTCTAGTTCATCTATTTATAAGAAGATCAGGTCTAGATCTCTAACGCTTCCTAGAATACTTTAGATTTTAATAATCAAACTTCTTGATACTAATTATTCCATCAGGGAAAAAATATCAAGATAAATCTATATCCAATAGTTAATCCTATTTATAAACTAAAATGTACTCCAAAAATATGGAATTTGAAGTGCTTTTAACTAGAGGAAATTACACCATCAGTATAGTCCACTATTACTGAGAGTATACTGAAGGTATCCTATGCATTTAGGATTGGTAGTCAGCAAATATTTGTGAAAAAACTTAATTTTATGAACTTGGCCTTACCTCATTTCTCTCATCTACATCTTTGCATTTTTCAAGAAGAGCTTTCAGAGCAGGAATGTTTTCTTCTTCTACATAATTTATTACACTCTGTGATATCAGAACAGACATTTTCACAGAAAGCTGCAATTATCTCAATTTCAGTACCTGTTAAAAGCAAATTAGACAAAATACACATAATTTGTGGTTAGAAAAAACCCAGGTTATCATTAAAAATAACGTCATTCTTAACATTAAGCTTATGCAAGGATATCTCCTGTGGTAGCAGTGAAAACAAGGCTTCACAAGGTTCTGGGAGCTCAGCTGTCAAAATGCTGACAAGCTGTCTCTTTCCAAGAACATACTCATCTCAATCTTAATTTATCCAAATCTCAACTCCAGATGCATCCCCAAAACCTCCTGATCGCCACTCCATATAAAAGGAAGTGCTCCACTGTTCCTCCTACTGTCTCCATCCCAGAAAATGGCAACTTCAGGTCCATTCTTTCAGGGCCAAAAGCCTTGGAATTATCCACAATTTATCTTGCTCTTGCACACTACATTCTATCTAAACAATAACAACAACAAAAAATTAGCAAATCCTTTTATCTCTACCTACACAATATACTTCACATCTCACTACTACTCACCACTTTCATCACCTGGTACAAGCCACCAAGATTCTCACCTGGATCATTGTCATAGCTTCCTCACTGGACTCTCTGCTTCCATACTGACCTCTAACCTGGACCACTGGGAGAGCTTCCTAACTGGTCTGCCTGCCCCTGCATGACCTCTCACCTGATTACTGTCACAACTTCCTAACTGGTCTCCCTGCCTCTGCTTTTTTCCCTTGTAGTCTATCCTCCAGAACACAACCTCGAAGATCTTTCTAAAATGTACACTGAGTATATGTGGGTGGTCAGGAAGGGGAAGATATTGGTCAAAGGGCAAGAAAATTTCAGTTAGGAAGAAGGAGTTCTGGTGATCTCACTGCACAGTATGGTGACTATAGTTAATAATAGTGTATTATATATTTCAAATTGTTAAAAGAGTGCATTTTAAATAAACTGCACAAAGAAATAAGCACGAGAAGGGACAGATATGTTAATTAGCCGGAAATGATCATTCTATAATGGATACATGTATCAAAACATAACACTTTACCCCACAAATATATATATTATTTTCCAATTAAAAATTATATTAAATTATAAAGAAAACCTTTAGCATGCATCAGAATCATCTAGAGAGCTTTTAAAACAGATTCCTGAGCCCTACTCTCAGAGATTCTGACCTAGTAGGTCTGGGTGGGCCCCTGAATCTGCATCTTTAAACAGTGCCCTGTGATGCTCTGATTCTGCAAACAGATTCGGGAGAACCACATTGTGAGTAGTGCTAAGTCAGAATGTGTCCTTTTTTCCCTCAAACAGCTACTTCAAGCACTCAAAGTAAAATCAATGTTTTTACCTTGAACTAGATGACTCCCAGTGACAAACTCTCACCAGTGTTAACCTCTGACCTCAGCCCCTATCACTCCCCCCCCCAACCACTTGGCTGCTTGAACATGCTGAGACAGTCCTACCCAAGGCCTCTGTGCCACTTTTCTGTCCACCTAAACTTCTCTTCCATGGGACATGCGCATGGCTCGCCTCCTTTCTTCCTTCGGGTCACCTCATTAGGAGGTCTTACCTGATGTGCAACATAAGAGATTATCAACCTCACATGGGCTCCATAGCACTTGCCACCATCAGAAAAAGGACATATTGTTTGTTTATTGTCCACCTATCACAACTAGATTTCAAGTTCCAAAAGATGGACATCTAGATGCAAATAAACAATCAGATCCCCATCCACACTTGCAGCACATACAGACACTAACTGAAAATTGACCTAAATGTAATATCTAAAATATAAAACTTCTAGAAGAAAACATAGACTTAATGACCTTGTATTAAGAAATATTTTTGATATAACACAAAAAGCATGAGTCATAAAAATAGACTCATAAACCAACATTCATCAAAATGAAAAACGTTTGCTCTGTTAAGAAAATGAAATTACTTGGGACTTCTTTTTTCCTTCCATTGTCCTTCCTCTTAAACAGAAATGCCTACAACTGGTACTACATGCAGGACCCCCAACTGTGTTTTGGAGCAAATAACTTGTTTCTTGAGTCTCACAGGTCCACAGATAAAAGTGCCTCAGAATGGACTATACCCGGAGCCGCATTTATACCCGATTTAGATGAGATTTAGAACTTTTGAGCTGACGAGACTTAAATGAGAATTGCATTTTGCTTTGATGCTATAATGAGTTGAGATTTTGGGGGGCCTTGGGATGGGAAGAATAGGTTTTACATGTGGGAAGGAAATCTATCATTGGGGGCTAGAGGGTGGAAACTATTGCATCTTAATATAATTCTATTTATATTGCATTCTGGAAAAGGAAAACTATAGAAACAGAAAAGAGATCAGAGATCACCAAGGCTTAAGGTAGGAGAATGAGATGACTACAAAAGTTTACAAGGGAATCTGAGGAGTCACTGGATATTCCTTTTGGGGGGGGGGGACAGAGTCTTACTCTGTCACCAAGCTGGAGTGCTCATGGCTACCACAGCCTCAACCTGTTAGGCTCAGACAATCCTTCCACCTCAGCCTTCTAAGTAACTGGAACCACAGGTGAATGCCACCACATCCCTGCTAATTTTTTGATTTACTGTAGAGATGAGGTTGCAGCAAGTTGCCCTGGCTGGTCAAGTCCCAGGTTCAGGCAATCCTCTCCCCTCATCTCCCAAAGTGCTGGGATTACAGGTGTGAACTATTGCGCCTGAAGTTAATGGATATTTTGTATCTTGACTATGGCAGTAGTTATACAAATATATACATTTGTCAAAATTCAAAACTGTCCACTTAAAAGGAAGAATTTTATTATATGTAAATTATACTTTAATATAACTTACTTTTTTTTTTTTGAGTTGGAGTCTCACTCTGTCGCCCAGACTGGAGTACCAGTGACATACTCATGGCCACCCCAGCGTCAACCTGCTGGGCTCCAGCGATCCTTTCTTCTGCATCAGCCTTCCAAGTAGTTGGAACTAAAGGCGCACGCTATCACACCCGGCTAATTTTTTATTTGTTTTAGAGACGAGATTTCACCAAGTTGCCAGGGCTGGTCTCGAACCCGCAGGCTCAGGCAATCCACTCACCTCAGCTTCCCAAAATATTGGGATTACAGCTGAGTTACCGAGCTTGGCCTATACCTTACTTTTTAAAATAATCCTCGAAAAAATGATTATGCTAATTGACCCAATAATTTTCCTTGTAGGAATTATTCTAAAAACATGAGAAATGTGACAAAGATTTTAAGGTTTTTAAGTATTACAGTTTTATTCATAAAAACAAAAAACTTAGAGATAAGTATTACATAAATTATGATAATTCACTTAATAGAATAATATACAGTCATTAAAATGTATCCCAGGCTGGGCACGGTGACTCACGTCTACAATCCCAGCACTTTGGGAGGCAGAGGCAAGAGGACTGCCTGAGTCCAAGGGTTCGTGACCAGCCTGGGCAAATTGGCAAGACCTCGTCTCTACAATAAATCAAAAAATTAGCCAGGCATGGTAGCACATGCCTATAGCTCTAACTACTTGGAAGGCTGAGGTGGAAGGATCACCTGAGCCCAGCAGGTCAAGGCTGCAGTGGCCGTGAGAATGCCACTGTACTCCAGCCTGGGTGACAGAGACTCCAACTCAAAAATTAAATAAATGAAATAAAATAAAATAAAATGTATCCCAAACATGTATTAATAGAAAAATGCTTATAATATAAAAGGGAAAAAATTAAGAACTATATAGATAGCATCTCAACTATTTAAAACATACTCATTTTTAAATACTGAAATGAAACAGAACAAATGGTGATAAGTATCAGTGTAATTTTTATTTTCTTTAGAATCTTTACTTCCTAAATTTCTGGAATGTGGTACTTCTATCATTAGATACCAATAAGAGGTTTTTTAATTAGCTGTCATTACCAACACCCAATACTTTCATCTGTTTCCTCTTCTTACAGGATCAAGGAAGACATCCAGGATCTGGCTCGGCTCCCTTTATACCCGCCCCACCCCATCTTACAGCTCAGCAGCCCCCAACCTTTTTGGCATCAGGGACCAGTTTCGTGGAAGACAATTTTTCCACAGACGGGGGGTGGGAGCGGGGGAGGCCTCATCATCCATCAGCTTCTCATAAGGAGTGCACAAACTAGATCCCTCGCATGCGCAGTTTACAGTAGGGTTCGGGATCCTACGAGAAGCTAACGCCAATGCTGATCTGACAGGGGGCGGAGCTCCACTCTTCTGCTGCTCACCTCCTGCTGTGCGGCTCTGTTCCTAACAGGCGTGGATGGACTGGTACCAGCACGTGGCCCAGGGGTTGGGGACCCCTGCTACAGCTTGGCCAAGCTGAAGCACTCAAAATCGCCACCATCTGCCATACTGCTCCACAAGCCTGCCTTTGCTCAGGCTGCTCCCTCCATTTAGAACATCATCCTCATCTCCCTGCTAAGAAGCATTCACCTCTTCAGAGAGTCAAACAATCACCACTTGTTGTTGGGCTTACCTCCTAATGTCTCATGGCAGCCAACCCCATGCTCAGTGCCTAAGTTTAAGATGCCTTCACCAGCCAGGTTCTGTGGCTCAGCCTATAATCCCACGCCTTTGGGAGGCTGAGGTGAGTGGACTGCCTGAGCCCGCGGGTTTGAGACCCGCCTGGGCAGGCAAGACCTCATCTCTACAATAAATCAAAAAATTAGCCGGGCGTGGTAGTGCGCGCCTGTAATTCCGGCTACTCGGAAGACTGAGGCGGAAGGATCGCCGGAGCCCAGCAGGTCGAGGCTGCGGTGGCCGGGAGCGGACACTGCACTCCAGTCTGGGCGACAGAGTAAAACTCCAACTCAAAAAAATAAATAAATAAAAATAAAAGTAAATTTTAAAAGATGCCTTCACCATCTATACTCATCAAGACTATTAAGACAGCAAGAGACAAATTTAAGCTAGCTCAAGCAAACCAGAAAATTTTATTCTAAAGATACTGGTTTATTTATTTCCCATAACCACATCGTGGTGGGTGATACTGGACCTCAAACTCCAGGAGGAGAATTTTC